CCAGCTGTTGTCAGCAGAGCCTGGCCAAGGGGCACAGAAAGGACTTACTTCCAGTGGAAAAAAATTCAGAGCCTTCTAGCAGGGGACTGAACTGTAAGCTCTCTGGAGTTCATGTTGGACAACTTATCTGTCTCTACTTCTGGCAAATAATAAAACATTATGACTTCAGAAAGCAAACCAGTGAGTGTAATTATCTCCGTTCATCTCTGCCTTTTTCTCCGGGAGAAAGCTAGCCCGGGCCTCGACATCACTCAGAAGGAAATGTTTATAGGAATTTGTCTTCAATCAAGGCCTCACGCACGTGTGTGCTCTTTGTTTAGGAATACTCTCCAGTGCGCTTGCTTTACCTTTGAAGGCTTTGCCCAGGCCTTGACTCAGCTGTCTGCAATTCCACAGCAGCCCTGGCACAGGCAGGCTCAGTCCCCAAGCACAGGAGGATTAGCCCTACAGCTGGACTCGGGGAGGGTGGACCTCAGGGGCCATGAAATCATTTGTTAATTAAAAGCACTTCTTTTCTTACTATTTACCTTTACCTCAAAAGGGGGATTTCCTATTATTGCCTTTCTTCTTTTTTTGTTTTTTCCCTGAAGCCCTTGGTCTGCTCCACCAGGCCTAGGTTTGTGGGAACATAGTAACTTCTTGCTTTGGTTCCACAGCCACACAGAGTGGCTGTGACTCCTGAAAGCATGTGGAGAAATCCTCAAAATTCAGTTAACCTCAATCACTCTGGCTTAATAAATCTACATCACTCTGCATTATAAGCAGCAGAAGAGGGCATGTTGAGAAATCATTATAAATTCCCATATCTTTAAAAAGAGTGGCCCTTTTGGAGGTTATTTTAGGGTGGTGTATTTATTTTGGTGGCAGGAATATGTTGTTGATTTGTTTTATTTCCCCCATATCTCACCATGAACCGGCTCGCTATACTTTACTTGCTACTTAAGTGTTTCCTCATTGTCAGGTAATTATTGTTACAGGATTGTGTTCATTTTCCCCTTCTGCCCTTGCCCCATATC